ACACAGACACGCATGAAGGGACGACCCCCGCGAGGACACAGGGAGAGGACGGCCATCCACGCACCAGGAGAGAGGCCTCGGGAGGCCTGGCCCCGCCCATGCCTGGACCTCGGGCTCCGGCCTCCAGGATGGGGACGTGACAGTCTGTGGCGTGAGTTATGGTCGCCCAAGCAGACAGAGACACATAGTCGAAGTTCTTTCTCGTCCTCCTGCTTCTAAATGCCAGCCTAGGGGTGACCTGGGTGCTCTAAGACCCTTGCGAGGAAGTTAGGCCCCGTGTCACAATGGAGTACTCCAACAGGGACATCGCATCCGGCTGGATATGTTTTCTCCCCGAGGCGGCAGGCTCGGGCTCAGACTCCCACGGACACCCCCAGCTTCTGCGGCTTCCTTTGTGTCTCATCCTCGTCATATCTGAGCCTGTGGTCCCGAAGGGGGAGATCGGGTAGAACACCACACCATCACAGACAACAAGAAGCCCTGTGTGAGGGCTAACTGTGTCACCTGACCTGGGCCACGGGGGGCCCAGACATTGGGACAAACGTGATTCTGGGTGTGTCTCTGGGTGCTTCTGGATGAGATTCACGTTTCGACGCATAGATCGAGTAGAACGTGGCCTTCCCTAATGTGGGTGGGCCTTACCCAATCAGTTGACGGCCTGACTAGACGGAAAGGACTGAGAAGGAGGGAACTCCTCTGGCGGACTGTGTGAGCCCACACATCACTGTCTTCCCGCCTTTAGACTCATACTGGAGTGTCGGTCTTGCCTGGTCCCTGCCCCCCACCCCCCGCTCCCGCCCGCCGACTTCTCAGCCTCCATAATCACGTGAGCCCATCCCTTACGACAAACCTCTTTTCTACGTACACGCACACAGTATTGCTTCCCTAAAGAACGCTGATGTAAACGCTGTGCCCTTGGAACTGTTCCAGGGGTCCGACGTCAGCACAGGAGGGGGTTCCCAAGGGCCACGTCCACGGAGGCTGGCCTCCAATCTTCTTCTCAGGCCCAGTGCCCATATCCTCCAGTGGGACAGCCCCCTCCACGCCACCCCCGTGAGTGATCCCAGTGGCTCCCTTTGGGCCCTGTCCTTCCAGGCCCTTCTGCACTCACGTCACTCGCCGGCCTCCTCCCGGGCAATCTGCTTTTCGCAGCTCCTGTGCTCCCGCTGGGCCTCGAACGCCTGGTCCTCACGACGACCGCGCCCTAGCGAGCGCCCCCAGCTCCCTGTGAGTCTGCACAGTCAGCAGGCCCCCCGAGGGCCTGCGGCCACCCAGCTGCGGGCTCAGTGGCTTTTCCGGGTCAGGGGCTCCGGGGCGAGGGCTGACCACACCGCAGGCCTGGCCCCGAAGCCCAGGGTGCTTGTTTTTCCCTTGCATGGGGTCTCATGGGGCTTGACCAGCTCTCCTTCACCTTCGAAGTGTCTTTGGGAACACGTGTCCTCCAAGGTCACCTCGAAGGGAAGAAGACGCTGACCTCACCCTCCTTGCTTGCCCTTGGTGAAACTCAGCCACGTGGCCGCCTTGACCCCACTCCCTCGGGGAGGCTGAGAAACGCAGCGGCTCTCTTTGCCCAGGACACGGTGACCTGCTGACCCGCGTGCCCCCTCCACGCCCCCAGACACCTTCTGTGCCTCCCCGAAGCCCGTCCGGTCACAGCGTCCATCCCCGGGTCCGGAACCGCCAGGCCGTGAGCACAGGGACGTGCCTTCTCTTGGTCCAGCAGCTTGAGTCTGGGGCCAGTGACCCCAAAGCTTGAGTCAGGGGCGCCCGGCCGGCTCAGTCAGTGGGGCGTGTGACTCTTGATCTTGGGTCGTGAGTTCCAGCCCCACGTTGGGGGTTACCGACTCATTATAAGGACACGACTCAGGAACAGCCACACGGGAGGCGTGCGCGCAGGTGGCGAGGTGCCGCGGAAGGGGTCCACGCCCCTGTCTGGGGGCGCCCCCCTCCTGCCACCTGCACGTGTTCACCCGTCTAGCCCAGGGGCTCGGGGCCTGTCTGGCAGTCCCGCTGGGTGGGCCTGGGTGATCTCACAGCTGGCCACTGGTGGGTCTCCCGCCCTCTCCCCTCCCGGGGGCTCTCAGGACGCCTGGCCTCGCGGGAGGCCAGTCTCTGTCCATAAGCCACTAGTCACTGCAGGAACACACCTGGGACACTCTCAACACTGCAAAACCAGGGGTTTTAGGGAATGTGTGCCGGGAACTAGACAAAGACCCAATATTCATTTGTGATGACATCACCGGCCACTCCTTGGCCTTTGGCCGCATCCTTTACAGCAAAATGATCATAAAAGTCCAAAGCACGCGACTACACTTGGTCCAGCTGCTGTCCCGCCTCTCCCGTGGCTCCCGTGGCTCCCGTGGCTCCCGTGGCACTGCGCTGGGAGGCAGCATCATCTCCTGCTGCACGGCCGTCATTACATAGTTGTTTCAGTCCCCTCGCCTCAGCTGCTACCGTTCTGTTTGTGCCCTTTGGAAGGGACCCGAGCCCGGCCTCCTTGTGGCCAGGGTGGGGAACACCTGCCCTCCGAGCACCGCTGTCCCCATGAGGACCGGGCTGCCGGGCCACTGAGGCTGTTCCCGGCAGCCCCGCCCCCGCTCCGTCCACTCTGCCCCCGGAGCACTCGGGGACACCTGCCTGTGGCTTCGTCTCCTTCCAAGCCTGGAAGGCGTCCTTCCGATAGGCATTGCCGGGTCCTACTCCAGCTCCCACGGGGCCCAGCAGCAGGCACATCTCCGTCCCCTGTCTCTCTGGACACAGGGCCGGGCTGCTGGCCACTGCCCACGAGTCCACAGAAACCAAAGGCAGGGGCTCCTCCCACCTGTCTCATTCTTCCCTCGCAGCTGGGCAGGCCGCAGGCGGGTCAGCCCTCGGGGCGGGGCCCTGTCGCCTCCCTCCACCGGCACCCGGACTTCCGAACAGGACAGCCCAGCAGCTCCGGGGTCACGGGCACAGGGCAGCGTCCCAGGGTCATTGCTCGAGGGGTACGGTTGTGTGCTCGCTGTCTGACGGTGGCGGGTGGAGGCCACCTCCCGGCGGACCCCGCGTCCGCCCCCAGGACCCCGTCCGGGAGAAGACACCTCACCGACCTCCTGCTCTCTCCAGCTGTTGGCGACCCTCTCCCGGGCCAACTGCGGCCTCACCGTGGGTTTGGGCGCCACAGCGCATGGGGCTCCCGTGTCAAGGAGGCCTGGGGACTCCTCACCTCAGGGAGGGTGGAGCGCAGCCACCCGGCCTTCCCCTCGGTCTTTATCTTGATCAGGCGCCTCAACGTGGCCCCCAGACTTCCAGGTCTGGTTTCTCCTAGTGACCTCTGTCTTCCTGTTTCTTTCACCCCACCCCGCCAAGCTGGGACAGAGAGGCCAGACTTGCTGGGGACACTGCACTGGTGGGTCACCAGCCCATTGCTTGGGCCCTCCCAGCCTTGATGGTGCTATATTAAGGCCTTGGTTTTGCCCCCACACCCGCTTTCTCTTTCTTTCTTTCTTTCTTTCTTTCTTTCTTTCTTTCTTTCTTTTTCTATGTTTATTTATTTTTGAGAGACGGAGCACAAGTGGGGGAGGGGCAGAGAGAGAGGGAGACCCAGAATCCCAAGCAGGCTCCAGGCTCTGAGCTGTCAGCACACTGTCAGCACAAAGCCCGATGTGGGGCTCAAACCCCCAAACGGTGGGATCATGACCTGAGCCAAAGTCAGACGCTTAACGGACAAGCCCCCCAGGTGCCCCAGCTGTTCTCTTAATAACCGTCTGGAGATTCCCTCCCTGCTGAGTTCTGTGTTTGTTTCGGCTCAGATCGTGGTCTCGCGGTCTGTGAGTTCAAGCCCCGTGTCGGGCTCTGCACTGCTAGGGCGGAACCCGTTTGGGAGGCTCCCTCTCTCCCTCTCTCTGCCCGTCCCCGGCTCTCTCTCTCAAAGCTAAATAAACTTGAAAAATTATAAAATATGTTTTGTAAGCTGTAGAGTGACAGACTGACCAGAGCAGGTCTAGAGGACAAATGCACATGGCCGGAGACCCTGGGCTGTCCCCGAATGCAGGACCCAGGAGACTCTGGGGTCAAGCTCTTCCACTGGAGGAGGGCCACCGGCTATACATGAGGTGGGAACACGCTTGCCTCCGGAAGCATGCGTGCGTGGGCGTGCGAGGGGAAACGCAAGAGGAGGACGGTGGGGGGTGTGGCCACGTGTCCACTGTCTTGCCTGCCCGTCCTGTCACAAAGGGTTCTTCCCTTTTGGAGGACCCTCCTTTGCTGGCCTTGGTGGCGGTAGGCCTGACCTCCCCAGAAGGAGGTTAAACGGCCCCGACATTCCTCTCTCCTTGGTCAGCTCTGCCGGGGCCTCGGCCTGGGCTGGGCCAATCCGGGTTCCACCTGGGACTTCCGATTTCGAGCAGAGAGTGAACACCCTCAGGGACGGTTGGAGAGAACGGAGAGAGGTAGCTTGGGTGTCCAGCGGGAGCAGCCTGGAAACTGGACCGTCTACGGAGCCCTCCTGCACACACCCCACAAGTCTCGCCTTCGGCCCTGGCACCTGTGAACACCCCACCGGAAGTGTGGGGTTTCTGCCAGAGACACGAGGCTCCCAGTGGGCCTTCTGCAGCCACAGGAACCCTTGCAAGTGAGCTCCCCGGCCAGGGGCAAGGGGAAGTCAGAGGTCTCAGCACAAGAGGACGGGCCTGCCTCGCCGGCTCGGACGTGAAGGCCTTGCATGAGAAGGAACGGAGGTGGTCCGCTGACGGCTGGCAAGGAGGGGGCCCTCGGTCCTCCAGCCGCACGGACCTGTGTCCAGCCAGCAGCCGGACTGAGCCTGGAAGTAGGGTCCCCCGGAGCCGGCGGCCAGTGGGGCGCCCGGCCAGGCTCGGCCCTGGGCTCTGACCTCGTGAGACTAAGCAGACTGCCCAAACCTGCCCCGTGGCTTCTCTGCTCCGACCACTTCCCAGTCTGTTCCCGAGGAGTCAGTGAGTGACCCCGGTCCCCTTGTCTGCTGAAACAGAGCTGGCCTCCTCCTCTCCTTCCCCGTCCCTCCGTGCTGCGGCAGAAAACACGTCGCACCCTCCTCGTAAGGCTCATGTTCAGGCCCGCTCAGGCTCTGTGGGCCGACAGGTGGCAGGACAGGTGGTTGAAGCAGCGTCAGCTGTCCTGGAGGAACTGAGGGCCCCCTGAGGGTCTGCTCGCACGCAGGCGGCCATCGAGAACGTCCGCTTCCATCGGGTGCTGGAGTGCGGGGCCCCCCCGGGGAGCGTCTGAAGAAGTTGGGCTCCTGGGGCCGGCAGTCACGGGCTCTAAGAAGCAGAGGGGACTGTGAGGCTGTTCTAGAATGCACCAGGCCCCGGGCAGGACAGGAAGGCCGGGGCAGAGCGGCGGGGTTGGTGAACACCAGGAGGGCCTTCTTGGCCGCTGAGCCTGGGTCCTCCCTGCTCCTGGTGCACGGGGAGCCCTGGGGCTCCCCAGGATCACAGGTCTTGGCCTGGGACTAGTGCGGGGCCCCAGAAGCATCTATCTCTCGGTGCTGGTGGAGACAGCACTTGTGAGGTCGGGTCTCGGTGAGGAGTGGGGTGAAGAGAGGGGCGTCTCTGGGGGGCTGGTCTGGCAGCTCTCCAGCTGTCCCCCTCCCTCCACATGGCCAGCCACCCCCAAAGCACCCGCCTTAGAGGACTGGGCTGCTGGTCCGGGGGTCCCAGCGGCAGGGGGCAGTAGAGACATCCCGGGAGTGGGGAGGGGCGGTGCTCTCTGGCCAGTGAGCACCCAGACGCCTCCACCTGCCGCCGTCTGCACTCGGGGGGGTGAGGTGGGGGCAGGTGGGCAGGCTGGGACCTACCTCCGGCTTAGGGTGTACTTGCCCCTGCGGTCCAAGCTGCAGCCAGAGCGAAAGGCGAACCAGAGAAAGGAGCTGAGCAGCACGGCATACACCTGGGGGGGGGGGTGGCGTCAGCACAGGCACCGGCGGCTCCAGTGGGGCGTGCACTGCCTCCCTAGAAGGGTCTGGGCTCTGCGGGGCTCCCGCCCGTCTCGGGAGGTGGGCACTGTCACCCCCCAGACTGCGTCCCTGGGGTCAGCAGCGTCCTCTCTGGCTCCCCGGTGTTCCCCCAGACCAGAGATGCTGGCCTGGGGCTGCCCAGTCTGCCCTTCCGTCGGGGTGGGGGTCCTGTGGATGCAGGGGCAGGCGGTGGGGGAGGGGTGCCGAGGGAGGGCGAGTGTACCGTGGAGGCCAGGCCGATGCCAGTGAGGGTGGAGGCGATGTTTCCATAGGTCCTCAGGAAGCTCCTGACCCCCACCAAGCAGTCCTGAGCAGAGACAGCTCGTAAGGCGCCTGCCCTGACTGCCCCTCCCCTGCCCGGGGTCGAGGGCCCCCCCCCAACAAGGCAGAGACCCGCAGTGCCCACTGAAGGCGAATGCTGGGGTGATGGGAAGTCGGTGGGGCCTGGGGGCTCTGGGGAATGGCGTCACAAACAGGTGAAAAACGGACGGACAGAGCAGACCTGCCCCAGGGTCCAGCGAGTGCCTTTCTTAGGCGTCCCCTGAGCAGCCTGTGCTGGGTCATGCATCTGGCTGCTGTGGGCAGGCTGGCTCTCCCTCACTCCCTGGCCCAGGGCTGGGTGCAGAGCATCAGTGAGGGGAGGGGTGGGGGTGCTGGCCAACAAGAGGGGCAGAGAAAGCACTGGGGGAGAGGCCTGGGGTCCTGGGCATCCCCATCCAGTGCTTCCCCAGGGCACGGCTGCCGCAGAGGCTCTGCCTCCAGAAAAGGGAGGTGACCGACCCATCTCTGAAGCACTCAGATGGCGGCATTTGGGTCTGGGGAAGATGTTGGCATTTGGGGCGGCTGCAGAAAGGAAGCACATTCGGGATGTTGCTCTGAAGGCTGGGATGGGGGAGGGGAGGCTGGCTTGCCGTCTGTCTGTGCATCTATCTGCTCCCATGTTCGCTGGGCCCTGGGCCGCAGGACTGACTTCAGCTGGCTGGGAGGTTGGGACCTCTAGCTCCCAGGGCAGCTGGAAATGGTCCCAGGAGCTTGGGCCGCGACGCTGCAGCCTGGCCTGGGTGCCCTGGGGGGGGGGGGGCAATGGCCCCTGATCAGCCCCTACTCCCCCTGTGGCTGCTCCTCTTGGAAGGCAGGCTGGGGGCCAGACCACCGTCAGGGACTCCACCCCAGCCCCTCCAGCGCCCTCTCCCGGGGTGGCTCCAGCGCCTACCCCCACCCCCTGAGGCCTTTACAGTGGGGACCCCCCCATTCTGGAAGGTCGCCAAGCGGCCTGTGGCCCAGCTTTGCAGACGGGCGCCTGAAGCCTCTTCCTGGGTGGCAGAAAGCCCCCTGCCAGCTCTGCTGGGCCCTCCTTTGCCCTCGCCCCTCCCCTGCACGCCGCCCTCCCTCCCCTGCTGGGCCCGGAGCCCTAGCAACCTCCTGTCTGTTTCTTGGAGGACGGCCAGGAGCCTCTGGCCCACAGATAGGGGTGGGTTTGTTTCCCGGACATGGGGGAGGGGAGCAGGGAAGGCGGTGGGTTGGAGGAGGGCTGGTGGGGTGGTCGGAGGGAGGGCCACGTCCCTCTCTGGGGAGCAAGGGACTTCCCAGCCTCTGTCGCCGAGGCCCTTGGGCGGGCTGACTGGGGCCAGGCTGTTCCTTCCCTCCGCGAATGCACTTCCGGCTCCTTCCGGAGGAGCCCCCTCCAGATCACTGTCTGTCTTCCACCTCCCTCTGTGCTTCTGGAGGCTTCCAAGGGCAGGCCTGGCCTTGGGGAGCCCCGAGCTGAAACTGCGTGAGGCAGTGGAGGCGTGAACGGAGCCTGGGGCCGAGTCCAGCCCTCACTGCTGCCTCCAGGAGCCCGGGGAGGGAGAGCCCAGGGTCCCGGCTGTCCTCCTCACCTGTCTGGTGGCCTCCTCTCCTGGACACAGACTGACCTCCGTGCCCCCCAGGAGGCCGAAAGGAGAGTTCTTCCCACAGCACAGGAACTGCAAGAACACGGCGGGGGGAGAGGTCCCCTAAGGGTCAGCTACAAGTGGTCACCACGGCCGCCTGCCCGGGACGGCTCACGTGCCCAGCTGGGCCTCTCGGGCTAGGACCCTGTGGCCACCTTGCTTGATATGCTGTGTTATCGCCACCTTGAAATTCTTCATTTTTTGACAAGAAGCCTTTTTAGTTTCGCTTCGGGCCCCCCAAATTAGGTGGCCAGCCCTGCCCGGGTCAGAGGGAGAAGACGAGAGGTCCTTGTACCCCCCGTCCCCACGACCGAGAGGGCGTTGGTGGCCCGTGTCCCGGGACCCCCTGCTCAGCATCTGGCCCCGGCTGGCTGACTCTGGGAGGGCACCCTGTACCCATTTTCGGGGTTGCAATCCACCTGGGGAGGCCGAGTGTCCCGGAGCCGCCCAACGAGGAGGAGGCCACCCCCCACACGCTCACCGTGTCCTGAATGGCCACCAGCTGCTGCCGCAGGATGACGGACGAGCCCCTCACTGCCTGGTCATACACCAGATCGTAGGTGTCTAACACGGCATCCTCCACCTGCACCGAGAGCATCGCGGGAAGGCCTCTGTGCCGGAGAAGCCCCTTCCCTATGACGGACGCAGCTCCCCAAAGGCGGGCCTGCCCCCACGTGCCTTCCAAACAGTCCCCTCCTCCTTCCAGCAGGCAGAGCTCCCTGAGGTCTCCTGGGAGGCTGGTCACAGCAGTCCCCGAGGCTTCAGCTGGGGGGATCTTTCCCCACAGGAAGGGCCACCAATGCCACAGTCCCGCTCTGGGGGCAGGGGTCTTGCATAAGCCAGAGCCCTGAGCCGCGGTCACCTCCGGCTCTGACCTTTTGGAGCGTAGAAGGCCTGGCCGAGGGAAGTGGCCACCCTACTTCTGTTGATCTGGAAATGGGGGTGGGACAGGGAAGGCTGGCAGCCAGGCCTGGGCAGAGAAGGCTGGGAGGAGCCTCCTGCCAGGAGCTCAGCTCCCCCCTGATGGTCTAGGTCTCTCCCCAGAACCACCCGGTGGGTTCTGTAAAGCCAGGCAGCTGGGCTCCAGGGAAGAAGCCTGGGCATCCAGGGCCGGCTCTGAGCAGACAAGGCAGATAACGGAGAAGGAAGGTGTGGACAGGGGCCTGGCCTGGTTCTGTCTTCACCCAGTGTCACCCAGACCTCACTGCCTCCATCTTCCTAAGCACCTGTTCTGCAGACCTAAATGCCCACCTGTTGCCAAATGAGTCCTTTGAAGACAAACGGGAATCTCACCACCTTTAGGAAGCCTTCCCTGACCGCCCTGGGGTCGATGGTCTCCTGGCGTGGGCCAGGCTTCTTTGAGCTCTCCTGTCCTGTGATGCCTCCTGTCCCTTCCTAGAGACCCTGAGCCCTCCCCTGCCCCCTCTCCACCCTGTGCTGTTGTCACACTGACAGCTGGGACACGATGGCTGCTCAGGGCTGTCCCCAAGGCTGGGGGTAAACAGATGACCCAGCATGACCCACATGCTCCCCGGAAAGGGTGGCTGTCCTGCTGGCAGCCTGGAGGACCGGGGTAGGCAGGCCACAGAGGGTCTCTTGGCCAGCCATGTCCAAAGCCCCTGTGCCTCAACAGGAGCCAGAGGGACGTTCATCAGCCCCTCCACACCCACTCCTGGCACTAAGGGACCCTCCCATTGAGACACTGCACTGCAAGCCATCCCAAACTGGGTCAGCTGGTTTCCAGCCAATCGCTGGGAGGTGGGCAGTGCACTGGGCTAGAGGGCAGGCGTCAGGCTGGCCAGCACCGCAGTAGGGCCTGGCTGGTGGCCCTCTCTCTGCCTCTGTCTCTAGGTATAAAACGAGGGGAGACCATGAAGCCACTGTGTCCCCATGGGAGGGCGTCCCTGTGAATCTGGGGGCCTGGGAGAGTGGGCCTGGGGTCAGCGGGCAAGTGGCTGAGTCAAGGAGGCCAGCTCGGACCGCCCTCCTGGTTGCATCACCCCACTAGGGCCCAGGGAGTAGCCGGGTGGCCCACGGCCGGCTCTCGCGATTGCAATCTTGGCGTAGGAAGAATATGTGCTGACCGGGGTCTGTCCCCAGGACCCCAGAAGCAGGAGGCAAGGGCCCCGGCTTCAGGCAAAGCCACGCCCCTCACCCAAGACCCCGGGGCCTAGCAGTGGGGGCCCAGCTGGACCCTCCCCACAGGCCTGGGCATCTGTCCCCGTTACTGGGTTTGGGGGTGCTCTGGGAGCCTGAGGCCTTGTTTCTCTGTGACAAAACTGGAGTGCACCTGGTGGTCTCGGATGCCTCTGTGCTTCCTGCCAGGGTCCCTCCTCCTTGAGCCTGACCTCCAGGACCCCAGGGGGGTCCCCTAGGATGGGTTTGGAAACACAGGGGTGGAGGGGATCTTGGGGTCTCTGGATCCGTACCCCCCAGACAGTGCTCCTCTCAGATTCCCACCTGGTCACAGGGTGGTGACCCCAAATGATGCTGGGGGGGGGGTGGTGCACTGTCTAAGGTAAACCCCAGGCAGAGAGGGGCAAAGAGGCATTGACTCAGGGCAATGTGCCCTGGAAGGTGACCCCTGGGCCTGAGTACCTCCTCTATAGAGCAAGGCCATGACCATCAAACCTGGCCCGGTGATCCGGCCTCCTCCATCCGAGGAGCATGTGAGGGAGAAAGGAAGAAGCCAGGACCAGAGAGGGTCAGCACAAACCTAAAAGCACACAGTATAAGCCAGGCCCAGTCTCCTGACCCAGCTGCCCCTGGGGGCCTCTGCTTCTGGGGGCCCGGCCAAAAGAGACCCTGGGGCCACTGGGACTCAGACACACAGGCAAGAAGTCCTGGCTTGTCACCTGCTGCCTGCACAGTGTTTTGCCAGAAACCGAGTACATTCTAGCCAGACTGGCCTCGGTTTGCCTGGGCTGGTCCTTTGGGAGCACACGGAGGAACTGAGGCCCAGCGGAGAAGGGATCACAGAAAGTCAGGGCAGACAGGGTCTATGCAGCAGAACTCTCCCAACCCTGTCTGCAGACCCACCTGCTGGCCCCTTGACTTCTCAGCCTGCTCCAGAGACCCCACCTGGGTCTAGGCTCTCATGGGTGAAGGTTGGGCCCAAGGGCCATCAGGATCTTGTCAACCGCTGGGGACTGCGGACGGCCTGTCTCTTGTCCCTTTGGCCTCAGCCAGGGAGCAGCTGGGCTAGGGGCTTGGACCCCTGGGCCTCCCTCTCTGAGCCTCTTGGGTACCCGTTTCCTCTGCCCAGACGGGGGGCCTGCCTTGCCCCCCCAGCCCTGCCCTGGGAGGGGGCCAGCCCCACTCCCCAGGCAGGCTCTCAGCTCCGTCTCAGGGCTCTGGATTCAGACAGAATTTCTGCAGGGCCAGGCTGTCCTGGCCCCTGTGCCCGAGGCGCTGCCCCCAAGCTGTGGTCTGGCCTCGGTCCCTTGGGTCAGCACCCAGGCCTGCGGGCTTTGAGCCTGGCTCATGTATGCTCTCTGGGGACTCTGGCCCTGAGGACTGAGTTATCCCAGAGCTGGGGCCTCCCCCCAGCCCCCAAATCAGGACAGGGCCCCCTCTCACACCCTGAGTCCATCCACACTGTGCTGAGATAGCAAGCACACAGAGGACAGCAGCTGACGGGTGGAGGGGTGACAGACATGGGAACCACCTCCCGTGGGGGTCCACCCCCCACGGGCATCACTGCCCCGATCACCACCAACACGGAAGCCCTGGGGAAGAGCCCACCCCGAAGTGCCACCAGGAGGACAGCCTTGCCCTTCCGTGGCCCCCTGGCTGCCCCTGCTCCAGGGCTGAAGGGTGGCTGTCATCTGGGGATAAGGCCTGGACACCGGCAGGGCTTCTGGGCCAGTTTCCGGAACACGGACCTGTCTAGTCAGTCCCTCAGGTCAGCCGGCCGCCCCTCCCCCGCACCTCACCCCCTTTCCAACTCCTGACCCCCCAGGCCTGGGGGGCTTCTGAGGCCTGTCCCAGCCTTCAGGTCCCAGTCCCCCCCAGAGTGGACTTTACCTGGTTCAGGTACCCCCTGCTGTGTGATGCTTGGGGGTGGGGTGGGGGGGTGCGGGCAGGCACTCACCTGGGCAGGGTTGTGGAATCTCCAGAAGGCCACCTGCACCAGGATGCAGAACGCCAGGGCAAAGCACAGGAAGCCCTGGGGCGGAAGAGACGAGGGTCACCCTGTGCGGCCCGACCGGCCACCTCGAGGCTGGGCCTGGGCCCCCTAGTGCATGGGGTGCACACGCAGGCCGAGGAGGAGACCTGCGCTGCGGGCACACCGTTCCCAACCCTTGTGGCTTGTTTGCGAATTCTTCCCCTATTGGCTCGCGGGGGCCCTTCCGTGGCAGCGCCACGTCCCCCCAACCCCAGGGAAGGAGGCAGTCCCCTGGATGATGGGAGCCCCCACCCGGTGGGGCTGCTTCCGGGGGCGGGCGCTGGGCTGAGATGCGGATCTGGGAGAAGGGTCCGGTGAGTGGAGCACAGGGGTGGGGGGTGGGGGCTTCTGCAGGCGCACCGCAGGGACTGCTCATTTCTTTTTGCTTTCTGGAACGTGCCTCTGGGTCAAGCCCCAGCCTCTGCAGCTGGGCTTCTGTGGTTCTGGCCGGAAGGAGCTAGGGCAGGTGGGGCACCCCCAGGTAGGGGGAGTCTGGGCAGAGGTCCGCCTCCTGTCTTCACCCCCTGGGACCCCAGCGTTGGAGGAGAGGGAGTTCTCTGGGGCGAATGTCTTTCCATCATCAGTGCCCCCACGGTGCCCTCCTCTCTCTGGCTCGGGGGTCTGGAACTGTTGAGCCCCCCGCTGGCAGAGGCCGGGGAGTATTATGGGCCCCTCCCCGGAGAAGTGCGCATGACCCGAGCTTTTGTGGGCAGCTTCAGAAGGTCACCCGAGACTAGAAACCCTGGCTCACATGCCACCCCGGGGATGTCACCCCCACCGCAGCTTGACCGGTCACCTGCGTGCCGGTGACCCTCAGACCTGGGACTCCGGCCAGGTCTCCTAGAGCTCTGGGCAGTTTGGCTGGCTGCCGACCACACAGCCTAGGTGTCCAGAGGCCCGCTGTGTGTGCCTCACCTCCCCGCCGCGCTGGCTTTGTGAGGGCACCGCCGCCCCGTGCCGCGGGGGACAGTCCTCCCGGGACTGTCTACAGCCTGGGGCAGACTGTGGCCGGGTTCTCCCCACCCAGCCACTGCCTCGCTAAGGATGACACCCAGGAGGATCGGTGACCAGTGGAATCGAGAGACGCCTGCAGACACAGACACATGGACACTGGCTGGGCGGGGCCGGGACAGAGAAACGGTCCATGCCAGGGGCCTCCACCAGGTGCCGGGAGAGAGCGGGCCATGCCCACCAGTCCCCAAACTTGGTAGGAGCACTGGGACCTCTGGCTCTGCCCTGGGGTGTGTGGTGGGGGGCGGGGGGGGGGGGAGCAGGCAGCCCCCTGTCTTCCCCTGCTGCCTCCTGCCTGCCTGTCCTAGAGATGGCTCCACCTTCCTCCCCCTCCTCCTCCTTCTCTTCCCCCTCCTCCTCTTCCCTCCTGCCTCTCCTCCCTCTCCGCTTCCTCCCTATCCCTCCTCCTCCCTTCTGCCTCTTCCTCCTCCTCCCTCTCCCCCTTCCCCTCCTCCTCCTCCTTCACATCCCTCTTCCTCCCCTTCTTCCTCCTCCTCCCCCTCCTCCCCCTCCTCCCCCCCCTCCTCCCCCTCCTCCTCCCTCTCCTCCTCCTCCCCCTTCTCCTCCTCTTCCTCCTCCTGTTCCCCCTCCTCCCTGACTGGCTGAGGGCCTCCTTCTCCATCTGGAAACCATCGCTCAACACTGCCTCCCAGGATGGGGGCCCTGAGCCAGCTCAGGAGACCAGCATTTTCCAGAAATCGCTTCGCTCCTCAGGAGAGAGCACGCCACCTCCCTCCCTCCACTCGCCCGCCTGCAGGGAGGGCCTCTGGCGGCCCCAGGCCCACCTCACCTCCCCAAGGGCCTGCACAGCCTGGAGCCGCTGGGTGCGGCCGGCCCAGCGCCAGCATTTGCTTTCTCCTTCTAAATAAAAACCATGAATAAATCAGCCGCCCTTTGGGCTCCGCTCATTTCCTGCTGAGAGGCCCGCGTGGGGCGAGGCTGGAGGAGGTGGGAGCGGGAAGGGGTGGGCGGGGGACAGTCGGGAAGGGTCCCCCCGCTTGCCAGTCCGTCCACACGCGCTGCTCGGCGTGTGCAGACGCACGGCCGCGCCAGACACCGCGGCGCACGAAGGTGCACGCGCAGGGGCGGCTCCCTGGCGCGGGCCCTCGCGGGCATCGGGCCGGGCGCCCAGGGAGGGGGCGGGGTGCCGCAGGCGGCTGTCGGCTCAATCCCGGTGCCCCTGCCCCCTGCCCACAGGCCAGAGCGGAAGGCGCCCCGGAGCATCTGGACCAGGAAGAGCCGCCGCGGGCTGGGGATGCCCGGATCGGGTGCCCGGAGCGCGAACTGCGGGAATGGGAGCACCTCCCGCCTCCCGAAGCTTTACCGAAGCTTCGACCGGCACCACGGCGCCCCCTGGCGGCCGAGGCTGCCGCTCCGGCGAGGGCCTCTCCAGGCGGGCGTGCGGCCTCGTTCTCCGGCCTCGCCCCGCTGGCAGGCCCCCAGCCTTAGGGCTCCGCTCGGGGGCGGGGGGCAGTCCACCCGCCTGTCAGCTCCCTGAGCCGGGCCTTAGGGCTCCTGGTCACACAGACGGACGGCCCTGCTAGTGCCCCAGTGCCCCCTCACTCCTGCCCGGCCTACCAGCCAGCGGGGAGCCGGTGCCCCTTGAGCCCCCCCGGGACTGCAGCTTTAGGAGAGGCCTGTGTCCCTACAAACCAGGAGTCATTCCCCAAACATTTGCTGACACGGGCTGGGTGGAGAACCCTGCCAGCCCTCGGCGAGCCCCGGGGTGGCTGGCTCCCTGGCTGGTGACCCCATGAACAGCTCTCAGGGTAGGGGTGGGGTCTGCAGGAGGAGAGGGCTGGAGGCAGGAGGGGGGGTCTCCTAGGGGGTAGAGGGAGGCCTGGGGGACCCAAGGGGCTGCAGGGAGCCTGCCCTGCGGGCAGCGGAAGGGGCTCCCGGTGTCCAAAGGCTCTGTGTCTGTTTCTTTGCTGCGCCCCAGTTACTCTGTAACTGTGTAGCCCCCCCCACCCCACCCCGCCCTTGCATCTGAATAAACAAGGAAGCCACATTCTCACTCCAAGGGGGAGGCAAGAAACTTCGTCATCCTCCAGCTTTGGTCCTAGGCCCCAAGCACGTGAGAACGTCTCAGCAGAAGCGAACATCATTTTCCGGGCCGTCAGCTGCAGACAAACCTGGGAGGCACCGGCGTGGGCGCCCCCTCCCCCTCGGTGATGCTCACCTTTGACCAGACCCTACCCTGGAGTCCCAAAGAAACACGTACCCCGGACCCCTTTGCCAAATCAAACCTGAGCGACGGAGGGACTTTCTCTCTGTCCTTTCTGAGTCTCCCCGTCTCCCTCCATCTTCTCTGTCACTGACCCTGATATTCAATAAACTTTTCACTTCCTCCCGCTCGCCTGTGACTTCTATCCTGTGAGAAGCGGACGGCCCTCCTGGCTGGTTCTGCGGGACCCCCTCAGGGTCCTTGGGCCTGGCCTGCCTTTGTCAACTGGACTCTGTGCTGGGCCTGTAGGGAGTCCCGGAAGGGGCCCAGGCTGGGGGGGGGGGGCATGTGCTGGTGGCGGCGGTGGGGGGGAGCAGGTGAGAGCCCAGGGTCCCTTAGGAGAGGAGGGATCGCACCAGAGGGGGCAGGACGGACGGGTCTGGGGAGGCAGGGATGGGCACAAGGGGCCGCTGCTCTGGAGTCAGATAGAGCCTCCCCACGGCTGCAAGGGAACAGTGTGGGCTCCAGGCCGCCTTGGGGCACCGCACGAGCCCCGACTTGCAGTGATCTGGCCACCAGAGGGGTGGGGGGGGTGTGCCTATCCCTGCCTCCCCGCGTGTCCTCGTAACAGGAAATGGAAGCCGGTTCCCAGAGCCTCCAGCATGATGCAACCAGACCTCCCCAGGCCTTTGGCAATGGCTTCCAGGCCTGGGAGGGCCGACTCTGCCCCCCCTGGATGACGGAGTAAAGGAGGCCTGGCAGAGGGGCCCTGGTTGGCCCCGGTGGATGGGGGTCCCAGCTGGCGCACAGCCTTCGGACCTCTGTCTCTGTTGCGACACTGTGAGGGGTGCTCCCAGCCCTCCCCGCTCTTGATCCCGCCCCAGGGGCTGGGGGGCTGAGGGAGGGGCAGCGAGAACTCACCCCAGCCATGAGGCCTCCGGCCTCCCTCACGGTGGCTACAGCACCCAGCACGGCGCCCAGGGTCAGGAGCCCAGCCAGGCTGATGCTGGTGCAGAAGGCTGGGTGGGGAGAGAGAGGAGGGGTTTAGGGGTGTCCCGGACGGGGGTCCGGAGTGCACAGGGCTTGTGTCTGAAATCCGACCCAAGGGTACACTTGGGGGGTGGACTTCTGGGAGCTCTGAACAGGTCCACACGCCCCCTCAGGCAGGACGTCCCGCCCACCACCCACTCCCTCTCCTCCCAATGCTCAGAAGGCCAGAGGGAAGGAGGAGGCCCGAGGCCCCGCCCCCCACTTCTGCTTCTGCAGTCGCCCGCCCGGGCTATCTCGGAAGCCACCAGGCAAGAACGGGGTGTCTTATCGGTCCAGGCTCAAGACCCAGGCTTCCTGCTCCAGGATTCCGGCTTCAGGGTAAAAACTGGGGCCTAAGGGGCAGGAGGCCTGGGGCTGGGACCACGGCCCGATCCTGTGGGCCTCAGTCTCCCCCACGGTTGCCTTCCTTGGCGTCCTGTGCTCTTGCCTGAGACCAAGCCCCCAGAGTGCATCCAGGTCCGGGCCCCTTTGTCCTGGAGCAACGCCTCCAGGACACGAGGCCATCTGGATGCCATGTGATAGTCTCGCTCGTCCCCAGGCCCCCAAGGGAGGGCGGGAGACCTAGGGAGAGGCAGAGGCTGTGTCCCGGGCCCTGGCTCTGCCCAGTGGAGAAGGACCCCGGGGTGACCCTCTCTACCCTGACCCACTGCCTGGCCCAGCCTGGCTCCACTAGGAGGCCCTCACCCCAGCCCAGGATGCCCCCCACGGCCTTTGCACCTGCAGCCCCCCCCCACCCCGACAGGACCTCACTTACCCCAGCGGCGTGTGGCCTCATAGGGGGTCCTGTCTGAGGATGCGCGGCCGACGACAGCAAAGTGTGTCCCTAGGTAGTTGACAGCTGCCATGGCGGCCATAGAAAGGCCCAGTAGCTGGGGGTGGGGCAGACCCGCAGTGTGGGGGCAGGGCTGGGCGCAGAACGGGGCCCCAGAGAGCAGGGTCTGGGTGTCCTGGGTCCACTGGCCAACCTCCCTCAGCTTCATGGTCTCACTTGGGCCAGGCTCATCTTGTCCCAGGCACCGCGTTGCACACACAGATGCACCAACAACACACTCACTCCCCACCCTCCCCCACCACACACATTCCTTTTCCAGCCACCGAAAGGACCCAGAACCTTGGGTCATTCTGTCTGCACAGTGGAGGATGGGCCCACCCCACCCCAGCAGCCCCCTCTGACTTGCGCTGCCTGGCTAGGCCCCCAGGGGCGTCCTGTCCCCACAGTCACCTGCCAGGAGTCCGCCACCAGGGGCTCCAAGTGCATGTCCCAGGGGCAGGATAGGGACTGCAGGGCTGGGTGTGGGGGAACCACAGTCCTAGAGGTCCGATAACGTGTCCCGCCCCCCACCCTTCCCACCCGACCAGCCTGTTACCAAGACAAAGGAGCTGGTGACCAGCAGCTGGCACTTGGCCGCCCTGACTCGACTCCAGGACTGCATGGTGGCCTCCTCCGGTCCTCCCCGCCCACTGTGGTTTCCAGCTGGGCAGGGGCCTCTGACCACATCTGCCCGCCCAGGAGGTAGGTTGCGTCCTGCGTGTCTCTGTGTTTGTCAACACACCCAGAGAACTGAGCCTCTGGCTGCCCCAGAGGACACAAAGGCAGCAGGGGCGGGGTGGTGAGGCCAGCTCCTGCCACCCCTGCTGCCCTCCAGCCCTGACCCAAGGCACCAGGACCCCTGGAGGGATTCGGGGCCTCCCCCGAAGAGTGTGGCCTTGTTCTCCGTGTGGCCGCAGAACACATCCTGAAGGGAGGTGGGTGAGCAGAGAAGGTGCCTGGGTAGGGGGTGAGCTTCCTGTCCTGGGAGCGTACAAGTGGAATCCTGCCCCAGGCTCGATTCTGGGAGGAATGTGGGAGGCAGGATCTAACGCGAACATCAGGATTGGTGTGCCATCTTACGAAACACCATTTGAAATGTTCTGTGACGACAAAATATTTGGAAAGGGAATTTGACTTTCAACGCCTTCGTGGCACAAAGGGGTGATTTGGAGCAGAGCCATCTTGGGGGCACCGGGGAGGACCGGGGCCCTGGTACCACGCACCCGGCTGGGAGGCCCAGGGAGGCTTTGTCCAAACCCGAGTCTGTAATTGGATGATTCAAACCTGAGGGTGAGGCAGGGCCACAAACTCACGTGGGGCTGTGTCCCCCGGGGGAAGCCACTGTTTGGGGTCCAATCTTGGCCGGTTTGTACCACTCGGCCGCTGTTGTGCTCCTCGGGGAGGCAGGCTGTCTGGGCAGAGCAGGGGGCTCACCTCCGTGCTGGAACAGCTCCCTCCTGGTGTCTCTCGTGTGGGGTCCCCCCTGGACACTGGGGACCTCAGCAGGGGAGGGGGTGCCCCTGAGAGCTGCAGGCGAGGTCACCCCTTGGCCTTCTGGAAACCAGCGTTTCTGGCCCTCTCCTCCCACCCCCTGCAAAGAACAGGGGCAGCTGGGAGGCCTCCCCCATCCCGGTGCCCCCAGACCCTCCACTCTGGTCCCAGCAGTACCCCCCCGGGTCTGCAGGGACACAGGGGCATCTCTGATGCCTGTGGCACCGCTCCAGATGGAGCCCAGGCGTGACCCAAGAGGCGGCAGGAGTGGGAGTGCAGGATCCCGGGTGCCTCAGGGTGCCGGCCGTGGGGACTGGCCAGCTTGACGCTCTCTTGGCGGAGATGAGCCGCTCACTGCCGTCACTTCTCTCCAACTTTGGTGAGAGACACAGCGCCTGGCAGCCTCTCGGGAGGCAGTGAGGTGACCCTGCCTGCAGCCAGACCCCCAGGTGCCTCCGTGCTCAGTTTGGAGAAAGGCTTTCGGAGCCGGGCCTGGGTTCCTGGCCTTCAGACACTTGCCCGTCTCCTCCGGGCACCTGGGGCGGCCACTGACCTCCAGGAGCCGTGAGGGGGCCTAAAGCAGCAGGCCGATCCCCGAGGGGTGGCCCGGTGGGACGCTGCCCGGCCTGCGTCCCTCAGACCCCGTCCTGACGGTGGCCCCATCGCGAGCCAGCCCCGGCCTTCCTCCTGCTTTCTTTTCCACGGAAGACGCTGGGCGCGTGTGGGAGCACGTGCACACATGTGTGCATATGTGCGTTATATGTTATTTACTGGCCGGCGACCTCCTTTTTCCTTCCTCCTCCGCGACCTCATCTAATAATTAATCGGGTCATTGGAAACTGTCATAGGAGCTGACTGAAAGTGCCCCCAGTGGCCAAGGCTGGGACAGCAGAGACCCGGCTCGGGCGACGTGGAGCTGGACGATAGCCCCATAACCCACCCCGTCGCAGACACCCGGGCGCCCACACTGGGCAGGTGGCCCCTGGAGGAGAGGAACGGGAGATGAGACCAGGACACCCGCCGGCCTGGAGAAGCCCAGGTGTGGCTGTCACAGCGACGTCCTTCCGGAGACCACAGCCCGGCCGCACCTGACGCACACCTCCGCCAGGTGAGCCGGGCCAGCATCGCGGGGATGAGGCAGGTAGGGAGCAAGAGCCCGGACGTGATGGGGTGGGAAGGGCGCGTCACCCTGTGGCCCTCCCCCCAAACCCACAACCCCGCCTGACCGTGACACACACACCAGACAGACCCCAACTGGGACGCGCCCCACGATGTGGCTGACCTGTCCCCCTCGGAACTGTCCGGGGCGTCAAAAACTGTCGGAAACCTGAGGACCAAGTGTCCCGCGGTGCCCTGGGTGAGAATCGGGGATGGAAGCAGGACGGTGGGGAAAGACAAGAACTCTGCGTAGAGTGTGGACCTTTAGTTAACAATAATGGGTCAGCAGCCATTGATTCGTTGTGACAGATGTCCCAGACCCACGTCAGATGTTGGTGCCAGGGGACAGCGGGCGTAGGGGGTGCGCGAACTCTCTGCACGACCTCGGCAACGTTTCTGTAAACCTAAAGCTGTCCTACAATAGCTTTTATTTAGAGGCGTGGTTATGCCCCGCCCCCCACCCCCCCGGCGGGGGGGGGGGGGGGGGCTCAGTGGTGCTGCTTCTGCCTGTTCACTCACTGAGCCGTGAGCCCTTCTCCCCCCGCTTACCCACCCCCAGTCCATTAGCTGCTCATCCACCAAGACTGTCACCTGTTCGGTGACGGCACCTGCCCACCCGCCTGAACACTCGTGCACTCACCTGCCCACCTGCCCACCTGTCCACGTGGGACCCGCACAGCCCCAGGAGCCCCTCTTCCCCCAGGAGGGCCCACCCCAGGCTGGCAGGGCACACGTTGGCCTGGTCTGGCAGCGGCCGAGCCACACCCAGGCTCGGGGCTCCGCGCCCCGCCCCCCCCCCCCCCCCCCCCCGCCGAGATTCTGGCACAGAGCTTGTCCTGCCCATGAAGGGGTGGGGTAGGGCCCATGGAGGGCTGCACCCCTGCACACACGCAGAGGGGGTCGAGGGGTGCCTCCACCTCACGGGTGCCAGCGCCGCCTCCGGAGGGGCGCGTGGGGCCCCAGGCACCCTGGAGCCCCTGCCCTGGGCCCAGGCGTCAGCAAGGAGTGTGGACTGGGCGCTCCCACCCGGTGGGGCCCAGCCCCCCCAGCCCCCTGGGGAGCCCTCACGGCAAACATTTCCAGCCCACTCCTGGAATTTATTTAACCCGCCGTGAAAGAGTGCCCGATGACGAAACTGTGCCAAGCACTCACTGTCAGCGCTGCGTGGCTCCGGGGCATATCCACACCCCCCCCCCCCGGGGGCCCGGGGCCACTCAGGCTGCAGACCCCACGCCCCAGGGGGTCCCTCCGACAGGCCCTCCGTCTGCCAAGGCAGGCCGGGGTCGGGGTGGAGCCAACAGCCGAGTGAGGAAGGGGACAGGACAGGCCTTCGCACTCAGGCGGTGAGCTCCGTGCCCGCATCCTGCCGACCGAATGCTCTGCCCCCGGGTTCGCAGCCGAAGCCCGGGCCTCAGGGTGGTGGTTAGGGTGAGTGAGGGCGTGAGGGTGGTGTCCGCGATGGGATGGGTGCCCCCAACCCCGCCCCGGCGAGGACCCGCAGGGAAGGGCCCTTGTGTGCACACAGGAAGGGGGGGGCTCCCCAGGAACCGCGTGCAGGGGCCCCGGCCTCGGGCTCGCAGCCTCCAGAACCTTGAGGATAAACGTCTGAGGTTGCAGGCCACACCTGTGGTGTCGCGGTGCGAAGGCCGTGGCAGGCCATCACACGTGCACCTCGTGTTTACGGAGCACCTCCGAGCCAGCTCTGGGGAACCCCGTGAGGGAAGCAGATGTGGCCACCGGCCTCGGGGGGCCCATCCGGAGCGGGGAGGTGGGGAGGCCTGGGGAAGGCTCAGGTCGGGCAGGGGTGGGGGGGGGGTGGACCCGGGTCCTGGGGGCAGAGGCATAGGCGTGTGGGGAGGCGGTGAGGAAAAGAGAGGGAGCGGTCACCTCCCGGCAGGAGCTCCGTCCGGTCGTCGCCTGCCTATAGGACACACAGTCTGGAAATGCTGGGGCCCGTCCAGGTGGCAGGAGGGATGGGGGACGAGAGGCGGGAGGCAGAGGTGCTGGAGGCCTGGGTGGGGGCAGGCAGCCGAGACCCCGCTCTGAATGCCCCCCCCCCACCCCCCGGCGTGCGGCCTGGTGGCTGCAGAGGTGACCCAGGACCAGCTCTGGCCGATCACAGTGGCCCTCCCCGCCCCCAATGGTGGGCCTTGGGGTTGGATATGTGACCCTTAAGGGCCACTCTCTGGGTCAGGAGCTGCAAAGTGGGGCCCCCAGTGGTGCCTTCCCTGCCTCGCGGAGCCACGTAAGGCTGAACCCCAGGATGAGGGGAGCTAGGGACCCCCAGGCCTGTCCCACCCCAAGGACCCAGCTGACCCTGGGCAGCACATGCTACATCGGCTGAGGGCTGCCGTTCGCACAGGCCGGCATGAAGCGAGGTCTGAACGGGGTGTGGTGGATCCAGACCACAGCAGACGGAGGGGGGTGGGCACCGAGTCAGGAAGCATGGAGGAGGGCTGTGGGGGGGGGGGGGGGATGGCCACACTGCAGATGATGCAGGTAGGGGTGGCCCGGCTGGAAGGCCCTGGAGCCCTTGCAGGCCTGTGATGGGGACCCATGATCTCAGCTACTGGACCGTGTGTCCCAGAATCAACCTGGAAGGACAGGAGCACGTGACAAGCTCTGGGTCAAGCGGGCAAACGTCCCACCTGAGTCCCGACAAGAGAGACCCCCCCCCCCCCCCCCCCCCCCCCCCCCCCCCGCCTGGGGTCAGCTCTGAGACTAGAGCCAGTTCACGGCCCCAGACCCCGTGCTTGGAGGGAGGACCCCGGGCACGGCTGCACACGTCCGCTGGCCACCTTGTCCCCACCTTCCGCAAAGGACCTGCAGCGTTTACCAGGGTGACGGTGCCCCGGGGGGGGGGGAGAAGCAGGCTCTGGGGGGCACGGGGCCCTGGCTCTGGTCTGACCCCGATTCCCAGAGGCCCCAGACGTCCCTGTAACCAGCAGTCGGGGCTCACGGGGGCCCACGGACTTCTAGCCCAGG